ACCAATTAGCAACAGGAGTCAGCTGACCACGCTCATTTGTTCCTCAACAAACGAGTAGCTAGTCAAAGTGCAGCCCCTTAATACAGCCCCTGGGAAAAAGGAAAGGGGAAAGGCAGGATCAGAACAGGCTCTAGGCTGTAGAGACTAGAAGTGATCTTTGTGCTGGAGGAAGTATTGCCTATGAGTGAAAGAAAGCAGAGCTCTGACTTACACTGGGTTTCCCCCTCCTCTACAACTCTTAAGTAGGTCACTTCCTTTCTCTTTAGCACAGTTTCCTCATCTGTTTGTACAGACACTAACTTCTGCCAGAACTAAGATGTGATCTGATAATAAGCATTGTAGCCTATAGAGCTCAGAGAGATGCTTGATAAAAGCTGCTTGAAACAAAAACCCACACTGATTTCCTTAATTAACCAGTAATATTGCTGGATTTTGAATGATGGGTTGCAACTCCTGTACACCCTACCCACACCGCTGCTTCATTAGCTGAGAGACCTAAATGCAGCACTGGAAAGGATGTCTTGGTCACTGAGTTCATCAAAATAGATTCACACAACCCCCTCCATAAACAAATCAAGAACTATTTTCTAGATGTTACTCTTGCCTTCTCCAAGGGACAATCTGTTTCTGCCTTCATACCAGAGTATCTGAAGTAGTTTCAAGTCTCTGTGTCTAGAATGTCCTAAATATGGTCAGAAATTATACCAAGATTATGCTTGGATTTACAAGATGGAGATTATATTCAACTTTGAAATTTTGAAACCACCTGCCGTTGAAGCACCCAAGTGCAGGTGTGTTAGATTTATAATGCAGTTATTCATGAACATACAAAAGATATCCAGACACTGCTTAAGTTGACAGACACTATCCTTTGTGAGCATAAGAAAACTGCAGGCAAGCAAAGAAAATTATTACATACTGTATTTTAGTTTCTTCATCAGTCTGAAATGTTCTCTGAGCCAAGGCATATGGGATCCTTTTCTACAATTTGTTCTGCTTATGACAAAGCATCCATTCCTTTGTGTTTGGTTAAAATTCTAAGTAAATAGGCTTCCTGCTACAAAACCGCATACTTTCACAGCTTCAAAAGTCATGCCTTATTCAGTCTTTCTCATTTGGAAGGTCAATACCAAATCTCAGAAATACCAGTATTTTCACATCTTTGTTCTGAATTTGGCAATTCCCAACTACCCAAATCCTACCTCTTTGTGGAGCTGAAGCAACAAGACTTTTCTCCTAATGTGAAAACATAACAATCAACATCCAAGAGGCACAAGAGCCCAAGCAACAAAACAGTCCTGAAATAGCAGGATATTTCACCTCATAGAAGCAGCTAAAATAAATGAGGTAAAAATAATCAGCCAGTGTGTTCACAGACTCAGGAAGCAATGTCTACAACAGTATTTGGATCACTGGAGACCCCAACAAGTCACAGAGATGGCTGTAACACAGCTGGAGCAGGGGCAGGGACTTGATAGCACTGTGGTGAGCTGAAATTAGGCTCCAGGACCCATGAGCCGGGGTGTTGGAGAGACCCCAGCTGAGGCTGATTGTGGCCATTAAAGCCTCTTAGTGCCTTGATGGTCCTGACAAATGAGCTCCTCCTTGAAAACTCCAGAGTTAGATCCCTGCTAATGCTGATAATTCCAGTGTCTTGTATGGGATCGCAGCTCCTGATAGGAGAATCCCATGTGTGGGTGAAAATAATGCCTCTTGAGAATTGGAATTAGTCTTTCTGCCTGATGATCCAGCAGATCCCAAGGGACCCACTATGTCAACAACTGACTAGGTCTTTTCTAGATTTTCTACAACCTGCAGAAGTACAAAAATAGCAGATACATATTTTCTATCCAACCATGAGTCAGAAGACTCCTCCTTGCAATTTAATAGGCATACTGAAAATCTCACTGTTGTGCAGTTTTGTCCCTTATGAGACGCTTTGGAAAACTTTTCCCTGGTCTTCAGGTCTATAAGGAACAAATCCATGCAGCACCATCAGTGCAGCCTGGCTGCAGGGACTGTGATGTTTCCTCAGAAGTGACAAAGTCCCACTGTGCAGCAGTGATGCCCTGCAGAGCATTACCTGGATATGAGGGAAACTCTGCCAGTAGTAGATGACCACAATGAAGGGATGGTACACTAGGGGGTCAAAAAATGAAGGGGCAGTTAAAAGGGAAATATGTTCTCAGGAACACATCACCCGCAGAGCAGTGCTACCTCTTCTAAATATCACCTTCTCCTTTTTTTCTTTTTTTTTTTTTTTTTCTTCTCTATGCAATGGCCAAAAACAGGTAGTTTCCAGCCTGAACCATCAGAAGTAATCAGACAAATAAAAATATTTTATGAGAGTGGTCAGGAAAACTAGTGCTCCAGTTGTTCTCAACTCTTTCATGTGTGTAAAAGCAAAGCAAAAAGCTGTGAGCAGCCTGTGTCTGGGTTGCTCAAAGCTTTTCCTCCCCTTTCAGCCAGTAATTTATGAAAATGTATTTGAGGAAATAGTTGAACCAAAATACTGTATTCTCCCAGGTACCCATCATTATGTGCAAATCTGCTTTACTAAGAAGACTGGGTGTTCTGGTGAGCTGAGCAGGTTGAATAGAGTTTGAATCTGTGAGTTTACACTGTTTGTCCTCAGATCATCCACCACCTGCATTCAGCCTTGGCAGAGTCCTGCTTTCACAGCTCTACCTGGGGCCGTTTCCCTGTGGGCACAGACAGCAGCTCTCCTTGGGCTGCTCCCCTCACAATGCCAGTGATTTAACACACACACAAAGTTTTTTTGCCAATGCCATTTCTGCCTAACTGCTACGCTATTTTTTTCTCTTCAGACCAAAGAAGACAGGACACTACCTGTGGGAGGGGTTGCATGGTCCAGGCACTTGGGAGAGGAATGGCCACTTTACAGGCCTCCTATGCTCCAGAGCTGTGATTGCATCTGGAGATGACACACGGTGCAACAGCTCAAATGTGACAGCCTTTTCTACACAGACACCTCCCAATTTCTGTCACACTGACGATGGAGTTAACCCACCTGAAACTTTCCCAGATCTAGGTGGTATATAAATCTCCCCATCTCCTTTTTCTCTCATCTGGGAAGGGCATTTGGATTTACCTTTCTACTTACCTCTACCCCACACCTACACTGTATGACAAACCCTTTCACCCCACCCTTCAGCACACATTCTGAGAATCTGTTGTTTCCTTCAGCCTTAGTAAGTAGTTGATATGGAGGAAGAACAGATTGAAAGGCATTTTAACCAGCATGAAATTGGATACAAGTGGAGACCTTTCCCTCTGAAAGCTCATAGCGACACACAAGATAGGAGCCCCTTTTGATTCACAGAAAATACAAAATTCAGAAAAAAATTACATTTTTACATTTTAGACCAAGCTACTTCTTTGTCCTACAGAATAGTCAGCCATCTCCTCCAGTCATCTTCTACTTAGACAGTTAGACTCACAACAAAGATGAGCCTCTGAAAGTAGCCTAAGAACCAAGGAAACTGCAGGGGCTTGTAAATGTCACCAGGCAAAAGCAAAGACAGCTTGCCCTGATGAAGGATTGCTTGTAATTATCCATTCTAAAGACCTTACTCTTAAATGGTTTGATCTGCTCAGGGGATAAACCGAACCAGTATGCTCACACAGTTGAGTTAATCTCTTTATGCACTGGGATTTGTTATGACTGTCATTTGTCTCGAAGGCTTGTTAGTTCCATGCACACATATGGCAACGGGGTGAGAAGGATGACAACTATTCATTCTCAGGGCAGCCACTGAGCTTCTGCCGGGCTGGAATACCTAACACTGACCTGTCTTGAGGAAATTCCTCTCATCCAGGTATAAGGCAGGAGACCTTTAGGTCTGTTTCAAGCTTTATATCACCTCTGCAGCTTTCTGCTATTTTCCTCACTACCTTCTCCGCCATCACCCTGGCTGGCTGTGACTCAGACTCATCCATTCTCCTCCATGCTTGGAAAACAGACACCAAGGAACACAGCTAGACACCAAGGAAAGCAGTTGGTCTCCTCGGTGTTTTATGTGCAATTTATGAGAATATGCAGAGGAAAGCCAGGCCAAGTGCTGCATTAAATGAAAGCAGCCAGGCTGCTTCAGAAGTGGCCAGCCCTGATGAGTACGGGGACTTGCCAGTGCAAAAGCTTTTTCCAGATGTTCCCCACAAGCAGGCCCTATACAATAACAGTGGCGAGGCAGTGTTAATGATTCCTGCCGAGTGCTTGGGGACTCCTGGACGCTGAAGGCACCGCCACCGGGGAGGTTGCACTATCAGAGCTCAGTGCCCCAGCTGCCCGGGAGCGTTCTCCAGGCAGACGTGGAGCCACAGACGAGTCCGTGTCCTCTGTGTTCTCACAGCCCACGGAGCTTCTGCATCACGGGCAGTGCTGGAGGGGCAGTTCATAGCTTCAGCTCCCGTTATCTCCCAGGGCTGGGATCTTTGCTCCCTGCAGACACTCCGGGCGATGCCGCGTTTCCCTTGTCTCCCCCTCTGGAAGACGAGGGCTCCCCGCTCCCCGCCACGGCCGATGGCGCAGCCAAGAGCCTGTGCTGCGCTGGGCACTGCTCTGCTCTCACAGGAGGTTGGAGAGGGCAAAGCCCTCAACCCTCGCCTCCTGCTCTCAAGCGGGGGCAGCACGATCCCTTCCACAGCTCCAAGGCGGGATCAAGAACCGGGAAACGATGCGGGAGGAGGGACCAACAGACCCGCTCCGGCCCCACACCTGTCGCGGGGGGCGGGGCCACAGCACAGAAGCCAATCCCGCCCATCCTCTCCTGAGTGACAGCGGCGGCCACCAATCAGAGTGCGGGCAGCGCACCGCCCCTCTCCCTGCACGGGCCATGGAGGCGGCCCCGCCTCCCGCCCGGCGGGGGAGACAAGGGAGGGGAAGCGGCAGGACACGGTAGAAGAGGGGAGGAGAGGCGGGCCGGCCCTGAGAGGGGCAGGACACGGGGCGGGAGGGGAGGCGGGCCGGCCCCCCCGTCTCCTTCCCTCCCCGCCGGGCTCGCTGGGTGCGATGTTTTGGCGGAGCGCGGGCCGGGCCCTCCGGGCTCTGGCGCTGCTGCAGTTGCAGCCGCCCGCCCGGACAGCGCCGCTCCCGCCCCGCGGACCGGCCGCCTGCTACGGGTAAAATCCACAGCCGCCTCCTTCTCCCTTTCCCCAGCTCCCTCCTGCCTTCCCGCGGCTTGGGGAAGGGGGTGTTTGTCAGACAGGCGGCGGGATAGACAAAGCGTGACAGCAGAGGGGGTGTTGCGTCGGGTCGGGAGGGCGGAGGTGACAGCGGGGACTCGGGCAGTGTCCTGAGGAGCCGGCTCCTACTTTCCCTGCGCTGCAGGATCCGTACCAGGAAGGCTCCGCAGCGCCGTCTGGGCAGTGCCTGTCGTCCTCCCCTGTGGCGGTCCCCGCAGGGCAGGCCGTGTCGCTGGCCGCCAGCCCTCCGCCGCCTGCTGCTGGTAAGGGGCTCCCTGGAGGTCGCCGAGGTAGCCGAGAGAACACACGTATCTAATCTATATCATCCTGCTTATTCCGCAGATCCTGTTGAGGAAAACTGACATAGTACCATAACATTTTTCCCCTGCACAGATAAAGAGCAGGTCGTATTGTAGTACAGCTGGAACAGAGGTAGTTCCCAGATTAACCTGCACTCCTTGACAGTACGAGGAACAAGATCTGCCCACTCTGCATCTGTGCTGCCTTGGTAAATGTAGGCAGTATGTAGCCAACACTTCTCAAAGAGTTGTACACCTTAACATTAATAATTCAAAATACCAGGGTGGGTTTTTTGGTTTTTTGTTTTGTTTTACCACAGTTTCCAATTCTTTCAACCAATTAAAAAAACTTTCTTTGCGAAAACCTAACAGAAGTGAAGTCATCCTACTGACAAGCACACTGATGAAACCTGAAGATTTCATGCTCCCAGAAATTTGGTATTGGAAGGATTAAGTATGCCTTAGATGTTGCCAATTCCAATACAATTTCTCAGTGCATAAAAACCCCAACTCATTTGTTATTAGTCCAAAAAGTATTGAAAATACCCTCTGTGTGAAACTCCTGGATTTCAGTGAGCTTCACACTGAAGGGTAATCCAAGAATGGAAAAGCATCACAGACTCAGCAAAATTCTCAAGGCCCAAATGCTAATAATTAATCCTAAAAACACAGAAATGTGTGGAAAAAAATCTGAATCAGGAAAGCAGAATATATAACAGTCTGTTAAACTGTACATTGCTAACCTGTTTCTTAAAAAGTAACAAGATATTGACTATTTCTGTTTTGTTAGGAACTGAATGTGGGTTTGGCAATTATTAATCATAAGCAAAAGAGCCCATCACATTATTCTTAAAATTTAATAAGAGCAATGTGCTGATATACTGTGGTGAGAACTGTAATAAAGTGCCTGTTGAAATTGATGGCAAAGAAAAGATGGCATATGAAGAATAAAAACAAAACCCTTATAAAGAAAAAAGTGAAAGTCAGTATTCAAAAAGGTGGTAAGGCAGCCATATGAGTGCTACATGCAGAATTTGAATTGTGAGATGTAATAAACCACATCAAATGTGATACATGGACTATGGACTATAAGGAAGTGCTCATTATATATATATATGTCTATATATGTATATTGCATTACAGGCAAATGATCACATTAGCATAGCAATTTAGCAAAACTCACTGAAGTTATAATTACACAATTTCTTTGAGCTGTACTCTTGCCACAGATCTGCATTTGTACTCCAGTTCTCAAATTGGATCTGCACATAAGGAGCTGATACTATTCTTCACAGTCACAGCTTTTATTCAGGCATGTGGCATGAAGGGTTACATAGATCCAAGATTTTACTTAAAATTAAAATAGCTTTATGTTGAAGAGGTTCTGTGGTTTAACTGCCAGTTATGTATTAGGAACCTGAGTTTGCAAGCTATTGTTAATTTTTTTTATGAAAAGGGTTTAAATTACTGGGATTGCTTTTACCTGTAATCCACCACTTTCACCTCTATACATACTGTATACTTTTAAGAAGATACTTTGAATCTGTGCTACTTCTGCTTTCTCACTAGGGGTTTGTACCTGGACATGGTTTCTTAGGTCACTTATTTGCATTTACACATATATCTCCCTTTGTACTGAAGATTGGTGTGGGGGTTTAAGTGTTGGGGCTGAGAGACAGCCTGTGCAGTCGGTTGATGTGGTGATTTTTTTAGTGTGTGGATTTAGTGCTCATGTGGTATTTTTCAATTAAGTATTATCTCCTGGTGAGATTACACTGACAGAAATATTATTACCACATTCTTCTTCTCTGCTCTCATCTCAGTGCAAAGTGGTTTTCATTGCAGACCCTGTGGTTCATGAGGAGCAGCAACAATAGATTGTGGTTTCTCTGGCAGATGAAGAGGCTCAGTTTAGTAATAGCAAGGTGAACACCAGCCATTTTGAAATGGCTGTGACAGAATGAGGTTTCTCCTCTCTAATGTATTTATTTCAATGTTTTTGTAGCCATGTAAAGCTGCCTTTATATTTTCCTGGTTGCACCATCAAAACTGTTTTCCCACCCCCAATCCTTTAGCCTAGGTATGGATGCTACATAGCAGTCACAACTGAATAAGCTGTTTTTAATCTTCTATGGACCCATGAGATGCAAGTGACCCATTAAAATATCACAGTGGTGTCATTAATATCTAGGAAAAGTAATTATTCTGTGTTCCTGGAGTGACCAGGTAGTAATAAAAATTAACTCTCTGACTGTTTTCCTATTTCTCTCTTCTTTCTCTGTCCCTAGTACTTCAGTAACATCTGCCAAAATCCAAGTGAATGGAGTCTACCTGCATTATCAGCAAACAGGAGAAGGAAGCCATGCAGTTCTTCTGCTTCCAGGAATGCTAGGTTTGGAGATTTTATCTTGTCTTTGTAGAGCAACCACCTCTTTATCCAAGTGGTCTCCAGCAAGAATGCACAAAACTATTTTGTAATGTATTCAACACCTGATTATGGAGCATTGTCATTTAAAAAAAATTGCTGCACTTAAAACAGAAGCGAAATTGCAGAGTTGTTGCTACCAGTTAACAGTTTTTAGAAGATTTCATTTATCTTACCAGGCACCTTTTATACAATGTCTTGACTCACCTAGTGGTCACTTGGACTTTTGGATTTAACTGTGCAAAGGTGGTGTCCAGGACAGGTGGCAAATCGCTACACAAGGTGGAAAAGAGCAGAAGGGAGGAAAAAACAGGTCAGCTATATTTGTTACACAGACTGAATTATGCATTCCTCTTTAGAAGCTGGATGGATTCCAACTGAATTTATAGACATAATGTAACCCTTACAGTTTATTGTGAAAAAGTCAGTGTTAAAATTTATTTTTTGCTTACAGATATATTTTCACATTTTGTTTATTCAGGGTAACATCATTAAGATTCTCAGTGATTTTTTGAGATGGACAACAGGTTCTGCTAGCTGAGTGGTGTTTGTCCATTGAAAACTCTGTTTTTAATAACAACCTTTTAAAATTAACACAGCCTATTTTTTCTGGGTTTTTGCAGTTCTAAAGGATCCATCAGACTTACCAACAGTTCATGGCAGGCTGTCAGTAGGACTGTTACTGTGCACAGAGTTGAGCAAATGCTTAATTGAATTGCTGGATAAGATGATAAAATGTCAAGAACTGAAGCGCAGGAAACATTTTCTTCTTGGCAGCAGTGTTTTCAAGTCTTCATGGAGTGGTTCTTTCTTTCAAAGAATCCTCAAGGGGATGGTGGAAAAAAATTAATACTGGTCATTCTTCAAGTTGTCATATGTTTCAATCTATTGACTTTAAACAGCTTTTTAAACTAGCAATACTGTTGCCAATGCAAACTCTTTAAACAGGAATAATGTATTTCTGCAGTTGTGAGCAATATTATTGTTATTGATTATTTTTGTTATTATGCATACATTGCTATCATCATAGCAGGCTATATAAAGCCTCTTTTATAACTTAGACCTGTTGATGGTATCTGAGGACTGATTTCTCCAAATCAACAGGAAAAAAAAAACTCTTAAATGCCTTTAAATGGCCTTTTAATATAGCAACAGATAGCAGATTTCATATTTCAGCACATTAAATTTGAACACGTTTTAATCAAATAGCATTTGATACTATTACCACATAACCACAATACAAGCAACACAAACTACAGTCTTACTTTCATGCTAGGTTACCTTCATTCATAGATAGCTTAGTGTAATAGACAGGAGTACTTAATTTTTAAATCCTTTGAATGTCTGAATCATTTATAGGAGAAATGGGTCCACAACAGAAAAAAAAAAGGCTGTATTTGGCCTAATTTTACATATTAGAAAAATAAAATTATATAATTTTATGCTTCTGTGTCACCACAGTCTCCTCAGGCAACAAAGTATTTAAAGGTCAGCTTTAAGCACCAAAGGAGATGCTTTATCAAGTAATAACTGTCTGGTACAGTGCTTTTTCACTTACAAATTTGTAGAAAAATATTCCTGCCCTCTCAGTGTCATCTGTATTGCCCAGGTAAACAGCAATGAACATGCTGGTGCTTTAAATCTGTCAGATATAAATCCCTACTCAACTAACTCAGTTTAAGATACTGTATTTACTCATACATGAGAATGCTGTTCTTGACAACCTTTCATACCTACCAGAAATGGTTTGCTTTGAACATATTGCAGATGCTTCTAAAGATTTTAGTTGTGGCACTTCCTGTCTAAGAGTTGCAATGGATAGTTACAATTAAAGATACTTCACTGTTGTATAATTTCTTATTTGGAGTGAAGTTACAAGTTTTCCCCACTTTCCCTTGAGAGAATGTATACTATGTATGCAGTATGGTGGTTAATAAAATTGAAAAATTATAATGTTTCAGGTAGTGGTCAAACTGATTTTGGACCTCAGCTTAAGTCTATGAATAAGCAACTTTTCACAATTGTTGCTTGGGATCCTCGGGGTTATGGAAAGTCCATTCCTCCATCTCGAGACTTTCCTCCAGATTTCTTTGAGAGGGATGCAAAAGATGCTGTGGATCTTATGCAGGTAAATCTGTTATGAGATTTTTATTATTTCTTTTTTTTAAGTTGTTTTCCTTAAATTTTGAGGATGAGGAAGGTTGTTTCCAGCAGACAGCAAATTATGAAATGACCATACAAATGAAGGCTAAAAGCATATACACACTATTCTAGAAAATATTTTCTTCTTCCACCTATTCTGCAAGATACATAGAGGTTCAGCAATGGGAATTAATATAAAGCAATATGCTTTTATTCTAAGGCCCTGCCCTAAGAGGTTCGTTGCCAAAAACCATATAAGTTTAGTTAAATGTGTGCATAAGAAACAAAGTCTATGCAAAGTAATTTGATTGAAGGGATTACCAGCCCTTTAACTGAAGGGCTCTTAGGAAATTTTCTATCAAATAGAATCTTGGCATTTTGCCTTGAGAAGCCCATTTTAAGCAACATTTGATTCTAAAAATTAACTTGATGCTTTATTTTACAGCATATTACTGAAGTAATTTTTGTGGGAAATCAAAGGCTTCCTGTGACCATACCAAATCTTACTAATTAATACTGCTATTGTGGTTATAAAGAATATGGCCTAAAGCTGTTATTATTTCTCCTTCTTGCAGAATTTTTTATTCTAATCTGTGTTTCTGTTTTCCTCTTTTATTCTGTCCTATAACTGCAAACACTATTTTCTGGTTTAGCTTTAACTAATATTCTTTTTTATATTAAAAAGACCATGTTAAGAAATTTGACAGAGCATTAAAATTCCAAAAATATGAGGCAAGATTCAGACAGTCAGTCCAACTGTATTTCTGTAGTAAACAATAACCTGGCTGAAAACCCATCTGAAACTGGAAATGTGGCCTTCCAGGTGGATTCTGCATAGTGAAACAAAGTAAGTCTGACAACAGAATCAGGATTAAGACACAGATTTGCCCTCTAACCATAAAAGCTATCTCTCTGTACTGTAAATCTTCAATTCCTTCTGCTACACTAGCAAAGAAAATAAAGATGCTGCCATGAATAGGTGACAAACTTGTAGTCTAAATGGTTGCTCCCCTTTCTTGTCTCTGATCAAATACTAATAAATGCAAAATATTAAACAGAGCTTTCCCCAAAGGGAATGTAACCATGTAGCTTCCAGCCAAACGGAACAGCAGCCTACCAATCTCTAGAGCTGCCAAAGCAAATGAGGCATAGCATCCTGTTTTTTTGAAGATGTTTCTCAATATAAGCATACAATAACAACTTATTAAAGTGTTTCCAAGCGTGGATGACTTGCTTCTATTTTAGGATATTATAAAGGATAGCACAAATCCCAAGGAATCATTGCAACTATGATTTCCAGAATATAACAGTTTATATACATCATCCAGCCTACAATCATCCAAAAAACATATCCCTATGGGTGAGCCTTCAGAACCTTTGTTCTAGTCTCCTTCAGATTCTGGTGTCTCTGCTGGAGCTGTGAGTGATACAAGGTTTCTGTGAAATAACAAAAGCTGAAATTCTGTGGAGTATTTAGCACCTTTATGCAGAAGATACTGTTCTGTATCTCCATTTGTCTTCTGTGAAGGAGTTTACTTGAAATAGGAGGAATATAGTGCACCTGAGTCCACTTTGCTGCCCTCTACCCCAATGTCTAATGCTAGCAAAGTCAATAGCATTAAAACAATAATTAGGGAAATAATCAGTGTTTATATTTAAGAAGTTCTTACTCTTCAGAACCACTGTCCTAGCAAAAGGATGGGCTTAGGCTTCTCTATGTTTTTGTAGATCAACTGTAACTTTTGCTTGTGGTACACTCCCTGTGATGCAGTGAAAGCATACATGCAGTGCACAGTGATGTGTTGCAGCTCACTGTTGTATGTGGTCATTGGATTGCATTTCACATAGGCCTGGATGGAGAAGGTGACTTCAAAATAAATTTTGTTCACTCACTGAGTAAAGGCAGCACAAAATCACCCATAAAACTGTGCTGTGCAATCAGCTTTCAGGTTATTGGCCATGTTAGGTTAGTGACCTACTGTAAGTAGTTTAAAATTACAGCAAGCAAACATGCACACCTTATCCAGCACATCTGTTACATCACATTGTTTTTCTGAAGGCTGCAGAGGATAAATTAAATTCCTCCTGCTGGAAAAGCATCCTGAGATACCCCAAAGAATGCATCAAGATAAAGGCTAGTAAACATGAGAAATACTGGAGGCAAACAGATCTCAAATAACCTGGCATGAAGAACAAAAATTTAATCAGCTATTCCATTCATCAGCCAACTTTAAGCCCCATCATTTGCTACTGGCAGTAGGGGAACAGTAGCAACATCAAAAATTAGCCTTACAAGCACTGCTGCAAACCCCCAGAGTCTGCCAAGATACCAGGAACCCTTCAGGAGCACAATAGTGAAAGTTGGACGCAGATGATCTACCTCTTCGTCAGACCAAGGCCAGCTTCTGATCAGCTACAAAAATTCAAAGTTCTCTTTTCTTGTTATTAGCTCTTACTTCACATGTCCCTTTCTTTCCCCTATCTTATTTATTTTCTGCTTAGTAATTACAGATTTGCAGAGTGAAATCTAAAATTGGCCAAAACTACAGTGAGGAGAATACTGCGGATGAAGCCAAAAACAGAAAAGCCTTGTAGGGATAGAAATCTGCTAAATATTGAGTTGATTAGTAAAGTTGTGCCTCACTTGATCATCAAGTTTACAAGCAAAGTAGAAACTTCTTTTTCTCCCTTTGTATGAGGGAGAGTTGTTTCTGTCATTGCCTGCATTTTTGCTTTCTTCTGTCACAACAAAGCAGGCCTGGATTTCCGACACCAGCAAGCACCAAAGCAACTCATTGAACTAACTTGCTCTTTTTGCTCCAAAAGTACAATAGTCTCCTTAATTACATCTAAAAGGCTGTAATTTCTGTAGAACAAAAGCAAAAACCACTGTGAAATATATTTTCTTGTGAATGAGTTCACAAACTGCAGTTCCTGTATGCAAAACTTCAAGTATTGCTTAACCATTGTACTGCTGGTTAACCATCGTCCCTCTACAACCTTCAGACGAGTGCCTTTACCTTCCTCACTCTTTCTTCACTGAACATAACACACACAAAATTCTCTCACCTGTGACTATCAGTACTCCCTACAACATATAGTGATTTATGAGGAAACAAGAGTTACAAATTCTAGAACAAAGCATTATCATAGAATCACAGAACGTGCTGAGTTGGAAGGGACCCATCAGGATCACTGAGTACATCTCCTGGCCCTGTGCAGGACACTCCAAGGCTCACACCATGTGCCTGAGAACATTGTACAAATGCTTCTTGTGCTCTGTCAGGCTTGGTGCTGTGACCATTGCCCTGTGGAGCTGTTCAGTTTCACCTTTTCCTGATATCCAACCTAAACCTCCCCCAACTCAGCTTCATGCCATTCCCTTGGGTCCTGTCACTGGTCAGAATGAATTAAGGTCTTGGTTGTAAAAGTTTTTGCCCTAAGCTTTCCTTTTGAAGAAAGAGACATTTAGTTATTCATGTTTCAAATGGCAACTGACCGTGAAGTAACATTTCAAACATACACTTACTAACTTCAGAAAATGTGAATAAGCAACTAAAATTTGATACATTCCTTTAGAAAATACTTTAAGCATTTTTTGGTTGTTAACAAAAAGCAGATTTTCTAGTTGTTGTTGTTGTTTTTGGTTGTTACCAAAAAGAAGATAGCATCAGTAAACCAGATCACTGACTTCCATTTTTCAAGTCTTACATTTTTCTTTTTCTTAAGTTTAGCTTAATCTTGGATTGCTTACCATCCACACTGTGGTAGTCTTTGCCAACTTCACACCAAGAGTTTCCACAGATTCTTCGTATCATCAGTATCATCAGACTCTCTGAAAAGGTCTTTACTCTCCATTTTAAATCAACTTTTCTTTTTTTGGAGGGCTTTTTAAAATGCAGCAGGAATCTAATAGGACTACTGCCTGTTTCATAGAAGAGTTATAGAAAACTGAAATGGCAGGTGTAATTTCTTGTTTTCTAAATATTTGACTATTTTTAGCATTTTTATATATAGTAAGAAAATTATGTTTTCTAATTATTAAAGCTAACTATAGTTTAACTACGTAGTGTTGTGCCTAAAATGGTAGAATTAATTTTCAATAAATACTTGACATTTGGCTGTAAAGCCAGCTGATGATTTGCATATAACTTTCTTGTATGAATCAAGGCACTGAAGTTTGAGAAGTTCTCCTTGCTGGGGTGGAGTGATGGTGGAATTACAGCACTCATTGCTGCTGCAAAGTACCCAAATCTAATCCACAAGTTGGTTGTCTGGGGAGCAAATGCCAGCGTTACTCAAGAGGATGTGAGAATTTACAGTGGTATGTATGAACTACATGTTGTATTCTAAATAAATTATTTTACTTTCTACTTGACCCAAGGATCTTAGTCATGTAATAGCTAAGTGGAGACAGAGCTGAGGACAAAACAAACCTAGAGACAGGACACAAAATTCACTGCATTGCTAGGTATAGAGATAGATTAAATTTATAGTGAGAAACTTCCTAACAATTACTATAAGGGTAATATAATAGATCTTTTAATAAGCCCTTTCCAGCTTACCCTGATGAAAAGTAGGACTAACAACAGCTTATCAGCAGTTTTCAGAAAGTCAAAGTTTTGTTGCTATAACAAATTTCTAAAAATAAATTCCAAATAATGCTATCAAACCCCAGGTTTGATTTCTTATCTCACATCTTGCACAACCTTTTTAAAACCAGGTCCACAGATAATTACTGGGCTAGCTCATTACAGCTTTTGCCTCTAGGGGCTATATAATATAGACAGTAAGAAAACAAGTTCATAACTTACCTTTTAAGTTCAGGAAGCAAATGAATCATCCAAGTAAATGTCCCAAGGTGTCTTTACCATTTGCATTCCTTCAGAGTTAATTATTATCATTAGAAAACCTTTGCAAAGTAAAGAAATATGGGTTTTCTGGTCCTTATTCCACTCATGTGAAATAGAATCTGAGATCACTGCTCACTGTAAAGAAAAATAGGAAGAAATGGCTGGTGAACTCTGAAAGGGGCCGTATTTCCTGTTGAACATGGAAATGAAAAGAGTTAACCATGTCGGCTCTCAACAAATGTAACCCATTATAGTTTCATTTTAGTAACTGCAGTTTGATTTATATCCACTGTGAAATCTCTCTTGCTTCAGCAAAATTACAAGTGTATATATTGCACATCTGTATTTACCTCACCTATACTAAAACTCAAAGTGGTAGTGGTAATAGCAATGTATTTTTTATGTCAGAAAGCAAAATACTTTTTAGCTCCATAAAATGCTTTACATGTTTTTATACTTATGAATTTTTTGTTGTATAACTATGAAATGGACACCTCCTCCCTGCACAGCAGACTAACATGTAAAAGAAAAATTAAACCCAAAACAACAACAAAAAAGAAACCCTATTTACATGGAGCGCCCACTGAAATATTGACCTTTGTCCTTTGTGAATTGTTGCTTTCAACATCACTCCCTGGCTGATGGAGCGCAGAGAGTAGCAGCACAAGTCTTCTACAACTGGCTTATCAGTCCATGTCAGCTGCATTGGAGGGTTTAGCAGGAAAGAAAGGTGTTGATTTGTTGTCTACGTCCTTTCAACATTGGCTTCTCCCTTCTCTTTTTAAATTAATGCCCACCACAAGGACAAGACAGTAGCTTATATGGGAAACATTTGTTCAGTAGCACCTAGCCTGGGGTGAGCAGTCTCGTTTCCAATCAGATGCTGTTATAAAATACTTTCAGTCACTGCTACCTTTGTCATTTGGCTGGACAGGTTCTCTTTGTTAATTAACATCTCATTCCTTTCTTCCCTTAATTCCCTTTTGAAACCAATTAAAAACTTTGCTAGTGGCATATTTTGCAGTTTGATGATTCAGTACTGTCCTGGTCTCTGCTGTGCCAGCTTTGTTTCAGATTTTGTCAGTACAAAGCTGCACAGCTGGAATACAGTTTAGTGAAAATAACCCTTTTGAATACCTAGTTTGTGAGCAGTACTGAAAATTTTAGAGGAAAAATATAGAAAATCTGATATATAACTAAAATACCAGATTATTTGTACAGTTTTAGCCAGCCTGCCATGAATCACAGATCTGTACTGAGTCACTTGTTTTTGTGTAAAACTATGGCAAATGTACCATGATGTCAGCTTGCTGGAATGCCTTAGTAAGAGCTTCCTTCCTCTGAGAGTTGGTAGAAGCCATGGAAGAACTTCCATCCATGAGGCCATGCAAAAGGCTAAAGGATATGAAAAAACTGCCAGGTCTAGAACGCTGTTATGAAACAGTCCCAGTTTTTTACACAAGGTACCCCTTGAATTTCTCTTATGAAAGCCTTCAAGAAAGGACCATCAGAAGTTTTAGGACTGAATCCTTTGAATATTATGTTTTTTCTGTTTTTCCTTGTGTTCCTCTACAACTCAGATGTTTCATCAACAAGTCAGAAGACCACAGCAGAGGTTGTACAACTGTAATCTTTACTCTTTCCATACTATGAATTACTTAAAATACCTGTTGCATTTTCGAGCTTGAAATACATATTTGCAGTCTGGTTTGAGAACTTCCCCATATTAGGTGTGGCTTGTACCTTTTTGCTGGAAAGGACATGACATATTTCAACTTTATTTTATGTAGGCATCCGAGATGTTTCCAAATGGAGTGAAAAGGTCAGGAAACCACTGGAAGAGCTGTATGGACATAAGTACTTTGCAGAAACCTGTGAGGCTTGGGTAGATGGAATATCGCGCTTTGCTGAAAATTCAGATGGTAGGACTTTCACAGTGTTAAACTGGGGCAATTAGAGTAACGGGCAGTTCTGCATTAAAAAAAAAAATCTAACAGTACTTCTAGCAGCCAGTAAAGGAAGGACTCTGCATATGGCATTAAAAGCTGGGTCTGACTCACACTCAGGAATAACACAATTACTCTGTAGATGGTTCACAGAACCAGAAAGGTATGGGAGGAAAACATTTATGGAAAACATTAGCTGACGAGGCTCTCCTCTTGTTCCACCACAAAACTGCATTATTAAGTCATTGCTTTTGTGCAGACTAAATAGGAAGGGTTCTGCTCAGGCAGAATCTTTCTCTCCTCTTCTGTCTCTGTGTCAAAGGATTATCTCTTGGTGACATAGTTAAGATGTACCAAAAGTAAGGCATGCTCTTTCCACTTTTTGCAAAACAGAGCTGAAATACTCTGTCAAACCTTTTAGCATCCTTTTGATCCTTTTAGCAACGTTTTAGTTAAAAAAGAAGGGACTTCAGATTTTGAGAACTTGGAATTAAAAAGACACTTTTTAAAAACACTATTGAAGCAGCTCAGATGTTTAAAAATAAAACAAAAAAAAGTTAAACTAGACAATATAATTGTTTATTCCTGAAGATTTCTGCAATTACTCTACATAGACTTTTTCAGCCAAGGATATTATAAATAATAATCTGCAGTTCTATTTTGATTCAGAGAGAATTTGATTTTAATTTGCCTAACACAGTAATACATAATGTATAAAAAAGAAGTTTGTAACTCTTATCCACATTTTCCTGTAGCTCTCACAATGGAAGACAGAAGGTGATGTACATTAACAGCAGCAGGTACTATAAGGAAAATGTTCCTTCGTGTCCTATTTTTGCCATAAATTTTTATATAGGATCAACACAGGACTAGGATTTCTCCCAGTAAAGTGATGTAACAAATTAGGTTCCAATTTTATTTTACCTTTTCTGGAATCTCCTTAAAACTATTTTTTTCTGAAGTGCAAAGCCTAGGCTGGTGAATCTGTGGCTGTGACATCCCTTCACTGCCTGCACATGCCTCAGACACTGAGATAAAGTGACTGTGAAAAACAAGCCAGCAAGAAACATGTAACAAGGAGCTGAATTGCCTAGATGCTGAAACTGGGTCAGATATTGGGAGAAGCCTAATGTTTGCTGCAAGAGATAACAGCTATCAGACTGCAGAGTTTTTTTTCCAGAGGAAAATCAGTTTTCCAATTTAAATTACAAACAGATCACCTTGCAATTAAAGTTAAAACACTGCAACAAAGGCACAGATACAGCAGATATAAGAAAAGGTGTTAATAAAACCCATTAGAGATGAAAGGAGAACAGTAAACCCAATGTTGGTCAAAAACTCAAGCTCTTTTTAAAAATACTGTTTTCCCTAAATGAGACAGCTTTTAGTGTAAAATACCTTAAGAAATGAATTTTTAGAAGGAGCCAACAATTAATAAAACCGAGTAAGTTGCATAAAGTTGCAACATCCAAGATTCTTCTTGCTGTTCCATGCTTTTAGAGTAAATACAATTTAGTGATTATTTTAGTAATGAAAACTGGGAAATAATAGTTTGACTGCCAACTATGTTCCTAGATAAATAACCTAAATTTACCTGGTGCTCGTTCTGAAAAATAGCCAGCATTTCTGCAGGCGTTAGAGGACTATGGGCAAAATGTTCTAAATGAAAATATTTAACCAGTAGAACAGCAAACAAAGACTGCATAACTAACCAAACAATTGGAAAAACCTTGAAATAGTCTCTGACTTTACAGCTAAGGAAAGTGTGCATGTATGAGCATTAATCTTAGAGTTGTTGGTAGCTGCAAAGTGACAGCTACAAATAGACAAAGTTATCTCAAAGAAAAATGGAATATAAAGCCCATCAAGGATGTTTTGCACAAAGATTCCCTTGCAAGAATGTGGGAAGTTAGGCAATGGGTTTGAAAACTGGGTTACTAAGAAATTAGGGAAAAAGGAGAAAATTCAGCAAAGTCTTTAAGCAAAACCATTAAAATTACTTCTAATGAGATTAATGAGTAATAAACATAAAATTATGAATGGGCAGGGAAAATAACTTTGAATAGCTTTAGTACTATTGATATCAAATGGTTATGCATTTGTACTGGGTTTGCATGGCCAGGTTTTGGTACCAGGGGAGTTGCAGGGTGCCTAGAAGCCTTCTCAGTGTCTAGCAGAGCCAATGCCAGCCTGCTCCAAGATGGAAATACCACTGGCCAAGGCCAAGCCAATCAGTGATGGGAGAAACACCTCTGTGAAAACGTATTTTAAAAGGAAAAAAAGTTACTGCACAGATGTTACTGCAGGCAGAGAAGAGCAGAGTGAGAATATGTGAGAAGAACAACTGTGCAGCAACCAAGGTCAGGGAGGAAGGAGGGAGAGGAGGTACTTGAGCTGAGATTTCCCTGCAGCCCATGATGCAGACCTTGGTGAGGCAGCTGTGCCCCTGCAGCCCATGGAGGTCCACAGGGATGCAGAGATGCACCTGCAGCTCTTGGAGGAGCCCACACCAGAACAGGTGTAGGCCCAAGAGAGGGCTCTGTACCTGTGGGAAATCTTGCTAGAGCAGGCGCCTGCTGGGACCTGCAGACCCATGGAGAGAGGAGCCCACCCTGGAGCAGGTTTCCTGATAGGACTTGTGACCCACTGGGGGACTCATGCTGGAGCAGGCTATGCCTGAAGGACTGCACACTGTGGAAAGGTGACTCACCTTGCAGCAGTTTGTGGGGAACCATTACTTGAGGGATGGATTCATGCTGGAGAAGTTAATGGAGAACTGTTGCCTGTAGGAGGGACCCCACACTGGAGTGGAAGGACTCCCTGAGCAGCAGCAGGAACAATCTGTGATGACCTGACCACAACCCCCACTCCCCATCTCCCTGCACCACAGAGAGACAGGAGGTAGAACCCAGGAAGAAGCTTCTAAGATTTATTTTACTTCTCATTATCCTGCTCAGATTTTGTTAGTAATATATTCAGTTAATATCTCTGATTTGAGTCTGTTTTGCCCATGATGGTATTTGGTGATTCATCTTTCTCTTGGTCCTTATCTCAAGTCAGGAACCTTTCATTCTGTTTTCTCTCCCCTGTCCACCTGTGGAGGTGAGTGATGGAGAGGCTTAGGTAGTTGCTTGGCATCCAGCCAGGGTCAGTCCATTAGAACATTGCAGACAGCAATAGGCCTGGGAGGTGCAACAGGTATGAGCACAGCCTAAGTTAATTTGTTCCAAAAAAGTAGCAAATCTTGTAACATGGCAACTGCTGTAACAAAATGCAGCTTAAACTGAGGACCACAAGACTCTTAAGGTTAAGAAGAACAAAGCTGGGAATGAGATTCATGCATTGGCTTTGAAGAGTCAAAGGGAGCCTGGGGGAAATATGGAACAGAAGTACTTGATTTTCTGTATCCTTTTGTGCTATCCTTTTGCTTTGGAGCAAATTGCAGTGAAGTAAGATTTTGGAGAAAGAAATATTAATCATAGTCCTGCTTACGTAGTTATGTAGATTAATCACACAATCCACAAGGAGAGGCAATAGCTAGAACCAATGGAGTTTAGAATCCTTTATGGAAGCTGTTTCATCTTTCATACAATTTTAAACCAAAGTGTGACCTTCGTTTGTTTTCTCCCTAGGTAATATCTGCCAACAGTTGCTGCCAGATATTAAATGTCCCACATTTATAATTCATGGTGAAAAAGACCCTTTGGTCCCACAAGCTCATGCAGAATACATTCATAAGCACATCAAAGGCTCTCGGTAAGTTAAATGATGGAATTTTTATAAAATTCCTTGTTGAAGGAATGAAGTAGTTCAAACTCACTGTTAAAAAAAAAAGTATTTGGACAAGTTGTCTCTGCCACACAGAGAGTGATTCTGAACTTCCCTAGCAAGTTACAATTCAAATAGAGTAGCTGGACTTTTCTTGCAGTATAAAAAGTACAGTATTTTAATAAGCTCCTTCCTAAAGCCCTCTGAGAGAAACCAAGTAATTCCCTTTTCCTCTTTCCACTGTGCAAACAGAACTACTACTCCCTAAGCTTTATCAAAGCAAGCAAAGTTGTTTGTTATGACCATTGCATTCCTTTTGCTGCAAGAGATCTCATTTCTGTCCCATTCAGTAGAACAGGGAATTTAGATGCTATGAATGGAGAGAGATTCCCAGTTATTAGAGAGAGAAACACAGTTCACTTCTGTTTGCTGTGCCCTAATAATGTGAACAACCTCAAAGATTCTGTTTCCACCTGTCCCATGAATTTTCAATGTCTATAAGAAAAGCAGAATGAAGAAAAAAAGGTACAGCTGTGCTCAGAAACATTATTATATAAACAAGAAAAATATCAAGAAAAATCTGCTTCATGTGTGTTGTGGTTTAACCCCAGATGGCAACTCAGTACTACTTACTCACCTACTCATGGGATCAGGGACAGAATCAGATGAGTAAAAATGGAAAAAAAACCCTTCATGCATTGAGATAAAGACAGATTAATGGCTAATTCAAAAGCCACACATGCCAGCAAAGTAAAACAAGGGCTTAACTCACTCCTCCCACAGGTGTTCAACCATCCCCAGGAAAGCCAGGCCCCATCACACATAGCAGTTTATTTGGGAAGTCAAATGTCATCCCTCTGAACATCCCCCCTTCCTTCTTTCCCCAGCTCTGTATGCTCAGTATGATGCCATATAGCATGGAACATTCCTTTGGTCAGCTGGGGTTAGCTGTCCCAGCTCCTTGTGCACCCCCAGTCTCCTCCCTAGTGGGGCAGTACAAGAAGCCAAGACCTTGATGCCATGCAAGCCCTGCTCAGCAATAATAGAAACATCTCTGTATTATCAACACTGTTTTCAGCACAAATCTAAAACATAGCCCCAATACCAGCTGCTGTGAAGAAAATTGACTCTATCCCAGCCAAAACCTGCACAACTTGAAAATTCCAGAAAGGCTTCCTCTAAAAAGCTGGGATTTTACCAGCTGAATTATCTTCATGAATTTGCACACAAATGCAAGCATTCTATTACTACTTAATAACAGACTGTGATGATTAGCACTGGAGAACAGAAGTAGTGAGGGGGGGGAAAGTATTTTTATGAATGCAAAGTGTAGGAAGCTGTTTTGCTGGTGTCATCTCAGTGCAAAAATGAATGATATCTCATGTATTACTATGCTGACTATAATAATGCATTCTGCTACAGGAAAGATGAGAACAAGAGATCTTTGTAACTACCACATGCAGATGTTTTATTTCATGTCTGCTGGTTTATCACTCCTACATGCCCTATTCAGAACAGCTTGGTTTCACTGAGCTCCAAAGTACTCTAGATGCTGCCTAAGGCAAATTATCCCAAGAAAATCGACAAGAATCTGATAGCTTCTCTTTGGAAGACAAGTCAAAGATTAAACACTGTTAGAATTTGCCATCCAATGAAATATAAAACAGTGGTTCTTTGCATGTCTTTGTGCTGAAGTGCTCCCCTGTATGCTTATTTGTCAGAAAAGAAACCAGACTAATGGTGTTCTCAGAAATTAATGCTTGGGCACATGGTCCTATTCTTCCCTGCTTGCATTAGAAATGTAATTTTCCATTGTGAAGCAGAAAGAAAAGCCTAAATTCGGTATGTTTTCAGTAACACAGGCTTCTACCCTCAGTTTTTCTTGCCTTGATTTTTATCTAGTAGTAAACTAGAAAAAGCTTCTTCTGATTATAGTGCAGATACATTGCTGGCTTCTCTCATGGTGAAAGAGTGTGCCATCATTCTGTATTTGCATGGTACGGCTGGAGTTCAGTAGCATTACAGTAGTCAGAAGCATTAACAGCAATAGGAAATAGCATGCACAGTGCTTTAATCTGTGCATCAGTGTGCTGCTTATCTTTCAAGAAACAGACTTAATGAAATTCAGACAGAATTCACTAGAAAAGCTGGATATGTTCACATGCTGCTGCTTTTTCCCAAAACAAAACAGCACTTGTCACCACCAAAAGGAGGTTGATTCCTCTTGCTATAGTGGGACTTGGCCAGGAAGGCAACATGGTATCAGTCAAAATGGTTTTAGCTCTATAGGAACTGCTTAGGATGTGGTAGAACAAAACAATTTAAAAAATTTCCCACCTCCATATGAAGTGTATATCCCTGATAAATAAAGTCTTTCTCAGAAAGCAAAAATAAGTAGAATTTTAGACATGTAAAACTCATATTCATATTATAAAAATTGAACCTTATTCACAGGTGCTACTTCTAAGCTTTTGGTATAGCCAGAGAAGTTCTGACTTCCCTTTTTATTTTAAGGGATAAATGGTTTTAATTTTGGATGGTCTTTTTGCAGAAAGATTACACAAAGTACAAATACTAACTAAGTTTAGGAAATGACAAGAACTCTACATTTCACTGCCCAGCACAACTACTGTTCTCTGAAAGAGGCAAAAGTGCTCAGGTCCTTTACATACCTTTCAAAGATGCATTTTACATAAGTTTTGGAACTCACCTTCTCTGAAGATCACCCGAAAGTTTTCTAGAAACTGGGTCTAGGACACAAAAATTTGATTTAGGTTTATTTTATCCTCCCCAGAGTGGGACAAGTAGTATGCTTGCTGTTCCAACTGTTGCTGTGGTTCACAGTCCAACCACATACTTAAGGACAGTACTTAAAATTAGAGTTACTACAATTCCTTACAGTATAACCAAGAGCAAGGAAAATGAAACAAGCATTTTAATTTCCTATACCCACAAAATAAAATGTATAATCAGTGGGGTGTTTTTTTTCCTCTTTTAAGGTTACTTCTGATGCCAGAAGGAAAGCATAATTTACACCTGCGTTTTGCAAAGGATTTCAACAGAGAAGTGGAAAATTTTCTATGTTGACATGAACTGTAAAACAAGTCAGAGGTGCTTAGCCTTGGCCTTGTTTAGGAATTTTGGTTGGCTTTCCATTTTCAATGGAGTTATAGGTAGGTTTGAGTCATGTAAGAAAAATATTAAACATATTTGCATGAGAAGCATATGTCTTAAGAACATGCAAGCCTCAGTGATCAGAGCATACCACTGTATTGCTAGATTTCTGACATGCCTTTAAACTTACATGTTGCCACCCAGGCGGAACAGCTGGTCTTTGTCCAATAGAGGTTTTAAGAAAGACAGAAACCATTATCTTGAATACATGCCTTTATGTGCTCTTAATATTAAAGGACAAAAAACATTGTAAGAATTAGGATTCAGAACTGTTACACTGAGAAATCTGGCAAGGTCACAAAATCTGAGAGGATAATTGGGTACATAGTTTATAGAAAACATGCTTCACCACCACTATCAGAAGTCATTCAGGTGCATGCCCGCTTTACAGAAGTTCCTTTGATACCAGGTGGCTTAAGCCTCATCCTCCTCTCCTTCCTCTTCAAACTCGCCCTGCTCATCAGCAGTGGCATCCTGGTATTGCTGGTATTCAGAGACCAGGTCGTTCATGTTGCTCTCAGCCTCCGTGAACTCCATTTCATCCATGCCCTCGCCGGTGTACCAGTGCAAGAAGGCCTTGCGCCGGAACATGGCCGTGAACTGCTCCGAGATCCTCTTGAAGAGCTCCTGGATGGCCGTGCTGTTGCCGATGAAGGTGGCCGACATCTTGAGGCCGCGTGGGGGGATGTCGCAGACGGCCGTCTTGACGTTGTTGGGGATCCACTCCACAAAGTAGCTGCTGTTCTTGTTCTGCACGTTGAGCATCTGCTCGTCCACCTCCTTCATGGACATGCGGCCCCGGAAGATGGCGGCCACCGTCAGGTAGCGGCCGTGGCGGGGGTCACAGGCGGCCATCATGTTCTTGGAGTCGAACATCTGCTGCGTCAGCTCGGGCACCGTCAGGGCGCGGTACTGCTGGCTGCCACGGCTGGTCAGCGGGGCAAAGCCCGGCATGAAGAAGTGCAGCCGCGGGAAAGGCACCATGTTGACCGCCAGCTTGCGCAGGTCGGCGTTCAGCTGGCCGGGGAAGCGAAGGCAGGTGGTCACGCCGCTCATGGTGGCCGACACCAGGTGGTTGAGGTCCCCGTAGGTGGGAGTGGTCAGCTTCAGGGTGCGGAAGCAAATGTCATACAGGGCCTCGTTGTCAATGCAGTAGGTCTCGTCCGTGTTCTCCACCAGCTGGTGCACAGAAAGGGTGGCGTTGTAGGGCTCCACCACCGTGTCCGACACCTTGGGCGAGGGCATCACGCTGAAGGTGTTCATGATGCGGTCGGGGTACTCCTCCCGGATCTTGCTGATCAGGAGGGTGCCCATACCAGAGCCCGTGCCTCCGCCCAGCGAGTGGGTCAGCTGGAAGCCCTGGAGGCAGTCACAGCTCTCCGACTCCTTCCTCACCACGTCCAGCACAGAGTCCACCAGCTCAGCGCCTTCCGTGTAGTGCCCCTTGGCCCAGTTGTTGCCAGCCCCGCTCTGACCTACAGGGCAGACCACAAGCCAGGTGCCACATTAGCACCCCAGGGACAAACTCAGATGATGCCACTGCCCCTTCCCTAGACGCCCACCCCTCTCTTCCATCCCCACTCTGCTGTGGGGATACAAGTTCCCCAGGGTCACTTGCATGCCCACTCCAAGCCTTTTCTGTGTGAGGAGTTCCTACTCTGGGAACTCCTCCACACCACAGTCACTCACCAAAGACAAAATTGTCAGGACGGAAGATCTGTCCAAAGGGGCCAGAGCGCACAGAGTCCATGGTGCCGGGTTCCAGGTCCACGAGGATGGCACGGGGAACATACTTGTTACCTGTGGGAGGAACCAGCAGCAGCATTACAGCCCCGCCGTCAGCAGCCAGTGTCACAGAAGCCCTGCTGTGCTCCTTCCACCTCCCTGCTTTTCTCTGGAGAGGCACTGTCACAATCAAGACTGCCGTGTTATCAGAGCCTTTCTGAGAACAAAGGTCTCTTAGAGGAGTCACTGGCAGATGACAGCTCATGCTCAGGGATATTTCCAGCCTCAATGAACTGTCATGGCTGCCCTATTTATTTGAGGACATCTGAGCAAGCAGGCACTTACCAGCAGCTTCATTGTAGTAGACGTTGATCCTCTCCAGCTGCAGTTCACTGTCCCCATGGTAGCTACCCGTGGGATCAATGCCATGCTCATCGCTGATGACCTCCCAGAACTAGAGGAAATTTTTGAAAAATTACAATTAGCCATTTTCAGTGCCAGTGGAAACAGCTGGCCAGTGCCAATCACACACCCCCGGTGCAGCCCATGCATTCCGTGGCCCTGACCACTCCCTTGCATGGCAGAGCAGCTGCCGGGTGGGAAGGTGAGTCAGTGCACAAGGGCTTCGCTGGCCGCAGCAGCTGAACCAGCAGGAGGCTGACGAGCAGCCATAGCACTGAAGTGCAAGTTAATTCCTTTGTAGTTTGTATCCAAACGGTAACCATCTCGGGCTATATCAATTTGTTGTCCTCCCATTGTCTAGCATTGGCTTGGGACCCTGCAGCCACGACAAGATGGCAACACCTGCACACGATCAGTGGTTCAGTGAAACACCTCCCGTTCCCTCCCTCGGCAGCTGGCGCCGTGGCCGCAGAGGGGCGAGGCAGCGCGGGATGGCCGCGGCTGCCTGCGGGAAGGCCGGGCACGCCGGACGGGAGCGCGGGCATATCCCTGCCCCGCCCAGCCCCGCAGCAGCTCGGAGCGGCACGGACCGCGGGGAGCACTAGCCACGACGCCTCAGCAAGCCCCGGGTCGCTTTTCATTTCGGGACGGGCTGCGCGCCGCCCGCGGGGCGAGGCGTCCGTACCTTGGCGCCAATCTGGTTGCCGCACTGCCCGGCCTGGATGTGCACGATCTCACGCATGGTGCCGGCGTCCGAAGCTGCCCCTGCTGCTGTTACCGCCTCCTTCGCCGCCGCTCCCGCACTCGCAGCTGCGGCGGCCGCGCCCCTCGCCGCCCCTTAAATCGGGCGCCGCGCTCCGCCCGCCGGTGACGTGCGGCGAGAATGGCGCGGCGCGGGGCGGGCCCGGGCATTGTCTCCCGCGCCCCGCTGGGCTCCCCGTCCGAGCCCCGTCTGGTCTGGGAGAGGCAGGCTGCAGACCCCTCCGCATGCTGAACGCCGCTGGCTTGGGGTGCTGCGGGAACTTCGCATTCAGCCGTCGGGGAAAAGGCCGGGATCGGATACGACATGGCTTAACTTGGAGTGAAAAAGTGAAAAAGAAAACAAAACCGCCTAACTCGTCTTTGCGCACCTGTTAGAATTCGTGCCCTTGCTTCCTTCGCGTCTACTAAGTCACAGCAGCAAAACACATGCTGCTATGTTTTAGTAGTGCCCTCAAGCCTGTATTTCTAGCTCAGGCCTGCTTTATCATGTTTCAATATGTTTGAAGCACAAGCATAATTTTTCCATAGCTTGGGCACCTGAAACAAGCAGAGATTGGGTGGTGATGTTAATGCCCACAGCCAGTTTCAAGCACAAAACTCTGTTTTAGATAGTGCTGCTAAACATATATACAAGAGGCTCTAATTTCAGGAACACAGAGGGCTGGCATAAAATTTTGTGCTGCTGCTAAAGAATGGCTTTTTCTGGGAGTTATCCAGCAGTGATAGCAGTTTAACAAACACAGGAATGGAATATGTTTCTTTTTTGAAAGTGAAGTTATGTTCTGTGTTACCAGACCCCAGCCACACACCTCATTTTGAAAAACTTTGAATCCTGCTAGTAGCATCTCTGCTTGATCTCTCATAGGAAAAACAAACAAACAAACAAACAAACAAAAAACAAACAAAAAACCTCACCAAAAACAAACAAAAAAAACAAGAAAAAACCAAACAAAAACAACAACAACAAAAACAAACAAACAAACCTGAGAAAAGTACATGGTGGATGACCAAGGGAGGAAGAACAGTTCAAGGACAACAGGAGAATATAACTGAACAAACTGCAATACACACCTGTATCTGCACTGCTGCCAAGGAGAGAACATCTGAAATAAATTTCAGCAGGGTTTATAATTGATTGTGCAGAAACTATTGAACTTGATTATAAAACAGTACTTGATTCACAGCTCTAATTTTTTTTCAGAGGTGAAAGTAGCTTTGCTACCCATCTGGCCACCCTGTTGAGGACAGCTTTACACTAGCACCAGGGGAGGGAGATGACAGCCCACAATGAAGCAAGGAATAGGTTGGTAAAGAGGATGCAAAACAGTGCACTTTGTGTTCAGCATAATGGAACTGGAGAGAGTTCACCTTAAGCACAACATTAAAGCACCAAGGGGAGACAACATGGTGATGCAAGCCCTAAAACTTTGCCAAGTATCAACAGGCTCAGCATAGTTAACATTGTTTATTTTGTAAAGGCTTTTGAACTGCCTCCTATAACATCCCTGTAGGCCAGTTGATGAGGTATGGCCTAGATAAATGGACAGTGAGATGGAGTGAAAACTGGCTGAACTGCCAAGCTGAAGGGCTTAACATCAGCAACATGAAATTCATGTTGGAGCCAGACGCTGGTGCCATACTCCAGTGCCTGATCCTTGGCCAACACCATTTAACTGCTTCATTAGTGAGTTAAATGGCAAGAGAGTGCACCCTCAGCAAGTCTGTTGTAGATACAAAACTGGGAGGAGGGTCTGACACACCAGGGGATTATGCTGCTAATCCAGAGTGACCACAGTAGGCTGGAGAAATGGGCTGACAGGAACATCATGCGGTTTAACAAAGGGAAGTGCAAAGTCCTGTACCTGGAAAGGAACAACCCACTGAACCAGTACATGCTGGGGACCATGCAGATGGAAAGAAGCTTGACCAAAACCAGCCTGGAGATCCTGGTGGACACCAAGTTGAACATGAGTGAGCAGTGTGCCCTAACAGCACGGGTTGTCCAGCAACATCCTTGTTTAAGGGAAATTGTTACCAGCAGGTCAATGAAGGGGATAAGCTGTGGTGAGATGCATCTGGAGTTTTACATCCAATTCTGGGCTCCCCAGTATAAGAGAGAGATGGCCATTTTGGAGTCAGTCCAATGAAAGGCCATGAAGGCAGTTAAGGAAGTGGAGATTCTGTCATACAAGGAGTGGCTGAGAGCTGGGACCAATTTTCCTATAGAAGGCTCAGGGAATTCTTATCAGTGTGTATAAATGCTTGATGGGAAGCAGTAAAAAAGAGGGAGCCAGACTCCTCTCAGAGGAGCACAGTAACGGGAGGAGAGGCAGTGGACATGTCTGAGCAACACATGATG